TTCTCTTCATCTTTATGGAACCACCAGGATTAAGGGGAAGAAGCTGACAAAACCCAGAAAAGTTCTTAATTTGCAAGGAATTTATGCATCATGTATGACATAAGAACATGCAACAGGCTGTCACTTTTAAGGGTAATTCCTTTGTTCACAAGGCATGCTTTTGGCAGCTTAGTGCCCAAAAACATCTGAACATCCATAAGTCTTTGCTTTTTATTCTCTTGTAATTGTCCTAACCCTAAATTTTATTACTCTAATTGTATTACTATTTTTATAACAATTTTATTATTATTAAACTTCTAAAATTTTAAAAACCAAGTGATTGGCATTTTTCACACCCCCTTTCCCTCCCTGAGCAGGGTTGGCAGCACCTGAGGGAATCCCTGTTGTTCCCACAGCCCCTTCCAGGGGATTTTTCCCACTCTCGGGTTCCAAATCCATTTGGGGCCTGGCTGTTCTCAGGGAGGTGTCCTGGGCTGATTGATAGTGCTTCAGATGGTATTTTGTGTTTTGACTTAGGTGTTTATTTTTTTAATCTATATTACAGTCTTACAAGCTGTGAGTTTTGTAACATTTTACTAATAAGTTTCAAAATGGCCCCATATCTATCTCTAAAAGGTCTTTTAAGGAAAAACTATCTAATTAAGAAATGATACTTGAATTATTTTTACTTTTAACTTAATAACAAAATCTTTGTGTCTTGTAATGTGGACTTTTTTGTTTAATTACAAAATACAATCTAGACTCATGAAGAGAAGGACTAGCTTCTGTCTTAAAACTTCTATTTTGCTTTATATATATTTCTATAGTCTAAAACTTGAAAATCTAAGTTTTCTACTATGTGATATTACACGCTTTTAGTAAAACTACACACCTATAATCTTAGTTCTGTAATTTAATTTTAGAAGCTTTCTCCATGGCCTCAGGTCAAATGCAGTGCTCTCTTGGGGGTCAGAGTCTGTTGGCACAGAAAGTCTAAAATTCTCAGCATCCAGGACTCCAGCACCTGGGGAAATGCCTCTTGTTCCCACAGCCTCTTCCAGGGGATTTTTTCTGCTCTGGGGTTCCAAATCCATTTGGGGCCTGGCCCTTCTTAGGGAGGTGTCCTGGGGGTTCACAGAGGGAAAGGGGAGGAGGAAAGGGGGCCCTGTTCTCCTCACTCCTATCAGAGCCCCCCAATTCCCAGGAGCGGTGGTCTGTGGGAGACAGGACTCAGCAAGGGGGTCCCTGTGCTCTTGGACTGGTTTGGACTGGGAGAACTGGCTGGGGACTGGTCTTCGGCCTCGTCTTCTCTCAGCACAGAATCCAGGAGTCCTGGGATGGTTTGGATGGACAAAGGGAGGAACAAAAGGATAAAGCACATCCTGTTCACCCCTGCCATGGGTAGGGACATCTTCCCCTGTCCCAGGCTGCTCCAAGCCCCAGTGTCCAGCCTGGCCTTGGACACCTTGAGAGACACAGGTGCTCTGGGCACTCTGTGTTTGGGCCACCCAAACACCGACCCATGACTGGAATGGTCCCCTGTGGCCATTTGGGTGTCCAAGGGCTGCACATTCTCCCCCCTTGGAGCGGGGTCACCTCCCCTGGCCCCTCCTGGGTCAAGGCTCCCCATTTCCCCAACAAAGGAGGCACAAAGCACAAAGGGGAAGCAGGAAAATCCTCCAGGTCCCTGGTGGCTCCAGAGGCAAATGCAGCGTGCCCGGTCAGGGTGGGTTCTGCCAGGTGGCCACAACAGGTCCCTTCAGTGTGGTCAGTGTCCCGTGAGGAGGGAACATCTCCTGGAAATGTCAGGGAATGTCAGTGGACAATGGAGGCACTGGCAGCTCCCGGGAGGCCCTGCCAGGGCCTGTCCCTGATCTGTGCCCTCGGGGCTCACCCTGGCAGGGCTCTGAGCTGGGACAGGAGCGCGGGACCCTCGGGCAGGAAGGTGAGCCCTGCTCAGGGCCATCGCTGGGGCCAGGGGCTCTGTGGGAGCCGTGTCCCAGGGCCAGCCCAGTCTGGAGCCACAGCCCTGCTGGGGCAGAGCCCCTGGGAGCCGATGTGTGGGACAGCTCAGCAGAGCGGGACTGGGGTGATCCAGCAGGACACAGAGGTCC